GTTATAGATCAGACACACATTCACACTAATGACTGTCTGTCTTTAACTGTTCCAGATTCAGGTGTGTCTCCAGGTGCTGTAGCAGGGATTATTGTTGGTGTTCTTCTGGTGTCTGCAGGTGTAGCTGCAGGTGTGATGTACTACTGTCGCCGCAGGACCTCTGAACTACCAAAAGAAACGTGTAAGTATTACAGTTGATACAGCAAGAGAAAAAACATTGAGCTTTATTGTGGTTCGGTAGAGTTTAAATCTAGTATGATTTTTTCAGTCAACATTTCTACGTTAACCACAAGTTCTGCTTGTAATTGATGCAATAATTAATGAAGTGTGTGATTGTCTGGTATTGAGCTAAATTACATTAATATACTAATTACTGAATCTCTGTCTGTTTAAAATACTGAATTTAAGATGTTTTTGATTATGTCTGTTTGTGTTTATGTAGTTTTGTTGTTCTTCTATTGAAGGTTGAGATATTTAGCAGAAACTAGCCTAAAATCATAGTCCTGCTGTCCTTCATTTTGAGTTTTATCTGGGCTGCATGAGTCTTTCATAGCACCTCGCACATGTGTTTGTGTTTTTTATCATTGTGTGTGGCTTCATTCACTTTGTTCATTTAAACATCATAGACTATTAATACAGAAACTATAAACTGAAAACCAAGAAAATGATATGGAGAGAGTGTTTGTACGTCTGCTGTAAATGACACTCATGTTTATAATTCAGCTAATATATCTCAACATGTCTGATCAGTTAGTGTTGTTTATTTATTCCTATGAAGGAGTAGTTTATTCTAAAATATAAATTCATCATTTACCCACCTTTATGTCATTGCAAAGGTGTATGACTTTATTTTTTCTGTCAAATGCAAAATAAGATATTTGGATAAACATTATGGAGCTCTTTTCTGTACAACAGTAGTTTTTAGTGATCATGTCTGTCAAACTATTTTAAGTATTAGTAAGTGTCATCTGTCATAAAAGTATCATGTGACTAGTTTACTATATTCAAAGTCTTCTCAGGTCATGTGATGGTTTGTGAGAACAGACAGAAATATGAGTAATTATTCACTGATCATCTTCCCGTTCACTAAAGCTCTGAAATGCAACACAAAAGGTATTTGATTTACAAACATGATAGAGGGAATTAGTTGACTGAATGTTTCATAGCTGAACTCAACACGTGTTTGAGTATGAAAAATAATATTTGAGAATTACAGCAAATAGTTTCAGCAAACAAACACTTAAACTGCACATAAAGCTGTTGTATGAGTTCAGAAGACTTACAGCTCATGGAGTCATTTTCTGGTGTCTTTAATGTCATTTTGTGAAGGCCATTATAAATTGTTATTACATGGAAAAGAGCTGCATGAAGATTCTTCAAAATCTACTCATTCATTTGGACGAACATGAGGGCGTGTAAATAACAGAATGTTTGTATTAAGTTTTATGATGATGAAAAATATTTATATTAGTATTTACCCGAATGAACAGTTTAAAAACAAGTTTGTTCCTTTGACTAAAACCTGATTTTTCAGTGGTAAATGTTTTATTAACCAGTTAATTCATGTTAACAATGCAACATTATTGCAAATTGTTACAGATCTTTAGGTAACAGTCGTCCAGAAGATGCAGTGATTATTAGAAGCACATATGAAGAATCACACAGTATCCTCTTAGTCCTTAAATGATACGGACATGTTTGTTTGCAAACCGAATAATAATATCCTCTTTTCTTTGTTTCTATGTGCTGCTGTCAGTGTCAGTGAGGAAGGGAGAATCTGTCACTCTAAACCCTGCTACTGAAATACAGACAGGTGATGAGATACAGTGGCTGTTTGGAGCTGGAGACACTCTCATAGCTGAAATCAAAGGAGAGGCCAGAGAGATTAAAGTGCATGATCCTGATTGGAGATTCTTGGGCAGACTGGAGCTGAAGGAGACTGGATCACTGACCATCAGGAACACCAAAGCTGCATTCACTGGAGTCTACACTTCGAAGATCAGAAGAGGCAGAGAAACCTTATACAAAAGATTAATTGTTTCTGTCGAAGGTGAGTCACTCTGGTCAGTGTAATAATGATCACATTCTTCCTCATTCATTCATTTTTTTCTGAAGTGAATTCAGCTCAAATGTTTAATGCTTAGTCTCCCTTCAGAGTTTCTCAGATCATTTCAGTCTTCAGTGTGTTTCTGTCTTTGGTTATTATAAACTTTGTTTAAAAAAAAAATCACTCCATTGGCCTATACTGTCATATAACCACATATTGTGACAAAGTGACGACAGCACCCCCAAAATGAAATTACAGCATAAAAGTTTCTACACAGTGTTTATTGAAGAGACAGAACTCAAGACCTGTGCTAGTTTTCTGGTGCATTTCCTGTTCATAGAACTAGTATCGCTAACATTAGAGGATAATGTCAGTGAGAGCTGTATTTAATAATGTTTTTATACAGAATTTAATTTTTTAGCACGAAATTTTCACACAGCAGTGTAAAGATCATCACTGATAAAACAGCATCTTCATGATCTTTGGTAGAAACTTCAAATGCTGTTGTTCACATGCACACATACTTGATCTAATGGCATCTGTTTATTTATGTCTTTCTATGCACTGTTCTCACATGTGAAGAGAGTGAGAGAGAAGTGGCAATGGGAGAATCTTTCACTCTAAACACCGCTACTGAAATAAACAAAGATGATTGGATACAGTGGAGGTTCAATAATGAAAAGGAGGCTACTATCATAGCTGAAATCAAGACCAGAAAGATCTTCAAATATGATGGTCCTGATGGGACATTCAGAGACAGACTGGAGCTGGACAAGGAGACAGGCTCTCTGACCATCACAAACACCAGAACTGAACACTCTGGATTCTACACTCTGAAGATCAGAAGAGGCACAAAAGAAACCTTATACAAATCATTCTGCATTTCTGTCAGAGGTGAGTCACTCCAGTCAGTGTAATAATGATCACATTCTTCCTCATTCATTCTTTTTTTTTTTCTGAAATGAATTCAGCTCAAACTGATTTATGTTTAGACTTCCTTCAGAGTTTCTCAGATCATTTCAGTCTTCAGTGTGTTTCTGTCTTTGGTTATTATAAAACTTTTTTTTTTAAACTCACTCCATTGGCCTATATTGTCATATTACCACATATTGTGACAAAGTGATAAAGCCCTCCAAAATAAAATTACAGCATAAAAGTTTCTACACAGTGTTTATTTAAGGGACATAACACAAGACCTGTGCTAGTTTTCTGGTGCATTTCATGTGCACAAAACCGAATCATCTCTAATGCTAGAGGATCATGTCAGTGAGAGCTGTATTTAATAATATTTGTATACAGAATTTCATTTTCAGCACAAACTTTCCACACAGCAGCATAAAGATCATCACTGATAAAACAGCATCTGTATGATCTGTGTGTAGAAATTTCAAACTCTGTTGTTCACATGCACACATTCTTGATCTAATGGCATCTGTGTATTTCTGTCTTTCTATGCACTGTTCTCACACATGAAGAGTGGATGGTAGCAGAGATGGAGGGAGAATCTGTCACTCTAAAGCCAGCTACTGAAATAAATAAAGATGATTCGATACAGTGGCTGTATGGAGATGAAGAGCAGCAGACTGTCATAGCTGAATTCACTGGAGAGACCGGAGAGATCTTTACATATGCTCATGTTGCTGATGGGAGATTCAGAGACAGACTGGAGCTGGACAAGACGACTGGATCTCTGGCCATCAAGAACACCAGAACTGAACTCTCTGGACTCTATCATCTACAGATCAGATCCAGCAGTGGGTTGTCATACCAGACATTTAGTGTCACTGTCAAAGGTAAGTAGCTCAAGTCAGTATAATAATGTTCACAGATCTTCACTAGCAGTTATTCCTCATAATTCTGTTTTTTTGCAGGTAATTCAGCTCAAACTGCTTAATGTTCAGACCTCATTCAGAGTTTGTTGTGTAGATCATTTCATTCTTTAGAAATCTATGATTACAGTTTTAAAATCTCCCATTAAACTACATTGTGAAAAAAACATGGTTCTGCCCCAAACAGTATTTCCTTAATCTTTCATTTATATCAGCACTCTGTATTAAAAGTTCACTTGGATTTATAGTTTTGTCTTTGAGTTATCAAATCTGAAGTTTCTGTTTAAGAAAACAGCTAACTGTCTTTATACTGATAAAACAGCATCTGGATGCCCATTATGTAGTCATTTCAAACTCTGATGTTCACATGCACACACTTGATCTAAAGACAAATTTGTCTTTGTTTTTCTCTGTTTCTGTGTGCTGCTGTGACAGATAAAGTGGAGAAGAAATTACTGATAGGAGACGATTCTGTCACTCTAAACCCTGATACTGAAATACAGAGAGATGATCTGATCCTGTGGATGTTTGGAGTTCAAGACAAGCTCATTGCTCAAATCAAAGGAGGGACTGGAGAGATATATGGTGATGCTAATGAGAGATTCAGAGACAGACTGAAGCTGAACGAAAAGACTGGATCACTGACCATCACAAACATTGAAGCTGAACACTTAGGACTCTATAAAGTACTGACCATCAGCAGCAGCAGAGGGACCTTGTGCAAGATATTCAGGGTTTCAATAAACTGTAAGTAATTGTCTTTCAGTTTAGTTTGTAAAATGTACATAAGTGTAAAGGCTTGTTCACGAATATTGGGCGCGATTATCACCGACGTTTAACGCCTCGTGACTAAACAAAGGGCATGTGTACCGGGCTATTTCTGTTTTTCATTCAGCACCATCTAATGTCAGGGAGTGAATTTGCACGTTCACTCGGCTCATCGCCAGCGAAAATCGCTTGGGTATGAACACAAAAGACGCGTCAAAAAACGTCGGCGATAAGCGCGCGCGATAATCGTCCCGGTGTGTACGAGGCTTAAGAGTGATGATGCATTGATATGAACAGTTCTACACTGAACTGAATTTTAATAGGCAAAGGTGGACATTATAGTTTGTAACTGTAATTTGACATTCATTTTATATTTTCCTCAATTTATCCTATTTGTTTAAAATGACTTAACGCAGAGCAGGAAATTAATACACCAATTAAGTATCAATAATTTACCTACATTTATAAATATTGAATGTGTATTAAAACTTATCATTTTGTTCTAAAATATTATAGTTATTAATGTCACATAATTAGTACAGTGGCAGATCCTGGCACAGGCAATATAGGCAGCTGCCCAGGGCTCGCAACGAGCTGAAGAGCGGCATGAGACACCTCCTGCAGCTTTCAGACACCTCTTCCTTCTCTTCTTTATACTTGATTCATGGCATTATTTTAATGTTGAGAGCGCATTAACATGAGAGCACATGCAGGTAATGCGTGAGCGCAGTTCTCTCAAATATACAGTGTGCTCTGTTATTAATTGTTATTAATCTGTTATTAATTGGCTCTGCTCTCCCTCTGATATTGCGTGTGCTCAAACCTGTCCTGTGACCTGTGCAGTCGTGAATTTCTACATGCTCTTGCTCTAGAATTCTCTTCTCTCATGGTTTTATTGCTGCTAGAAGCTGTCAACCATCAGACTTCCTCGATTGACCAATGAAATAATATAGTGTACCTTTAAATTGTAAAGAAATGAAGTCTTCATTGTTGTATGTCGAATGTACAAATTTCATGATGTAGCAACTTCAGTTTTAGTCAGCCAGTTTTCTAGGTATTTTTATAATTTAAAAGTTATTTATTGAGTTAAGTGTTTCTACAATAAAAGTGTATCAGTGTATGTAATGTTGCATCTTTATACCTTTTGGAGGCGATGTGTCTTATTTTGTCTAGGGCACCAAATGAGCCAGAACCACTACTGCATGTGCATGTGTATACACACACACACACACACACAAACATCCTGAATGAAACTTTACTGACTTGTTATATTCTCCTCATTTATTTTTTTCTATGTGCTGCTGTGACATGAAGTGAGCTATGTGGAAAGGAGGAAGGGAGAATATGTACGTCTGTACACTGGTCTTACTGAAATACTGACAGATGATGAGATACAGTGGATGTTTGGAGATGAAAACTCCCTCATAGCTGATATAAAAGGAAGGACTGGAAAGACATATGATGTTCTTGATGGGAGATTCAGAGGCAGCCTGGAGCTGAACAATCAGACTGGAGATCTGACCATCAATAACTCTACAGTTAAACATGCTGGAGATTATAAACTAAAGATCCGCAGCAGTAAAGGGAATACAAACAGCACATACATTGTTATTATCAAAGGTGAGTCGCTCCAGTCAATGTAATAATGATCACAGTTCTTCCTCATACATTCAGGTAATTCAGATCAAACTGCTTAAAGGCACAGTATGTAAGCTTTCGCTGCTAGAGGGTGTGTATTCAAAACAAAAAAACAAAGGCATAGTTTGATAACGCCGTGACTGAGTGTGGAATCATGGGAGTTGTCGTCTTCATCCCCACAGCCGATGCAATCCGATAAAGCAGCACTGATTTATCATACTAGATACATTTTGAAAGTTCTGTTATAATGCTTCTCTGTGTGGTCGTCACCTGTCTAATAAAACGCATCAAACATTGAAACCTCATTGGCAGGTGACGCAATGACACGGTCCGTTACACTAGTTAAAATAGCTATTTCTCTGGATTTAAACATTCTTCGAAACATTTGGGATAATGTAAGTACAGAAGTCAGCAAAATATATAACGCTGTTCTAGTGGTTTTTGGATATTTTAATAAAACAATCTTACATATTGTGCCTTTGTTTAAACTCCATTCAGTTTACTCTCTAGATAATTTCATTCTTAAAAAATCAGTTAAGATTCAAAATTATTAAAGTTGTTACCTCACTTCAATGTATTTCATTCAGCTTTTATTTATACCAGCATGCTGTAAATAACACAAAAATGTATATTAGATTCTTCTTCTCAGAAACACAACAAACTGTCTTTTGCAATTTGACATTTATTTTGTATTCTCCTTAGTTTATCCAATTTGTTCAAAATGATGACTTTATTCAGAGCAGGAAATTAATATACCAATTAAAGGGACAGTTCGCCCAAAAATGAAAATTACCCCATGATTTACTCACTATCAAGCCATCCTAGGTGTATATGACTTTCTTCTTGCAGATGAATACAATCGGAATTATATAAAAAAAATGTCCTGGCTCTTACAAGCTTTATAATGGCAGTGAATGCAAGTACCCCAGAGAGCAGTCTGGACGATGGGGCGGAGCGACACGTCATTGGTTTATAATACAGCAGAGCTTATTGGTGTAAATGCTGAGGCATGAGCATGCGCATTCTTTTATGTATGTTTTTATGAATGATCTACGCTGTTTGGCTGTACTACAGAAATATTAAGTGCTAACCAAGAAGATTTCAATTAGAATCAATTGGCTAATGCAATAATTATTCATGTCACTTCTCTGCAGTATATTTTTATTTATACTTTTATATGTAGGCTATTTATGCACAAATTAAATTACTGGTTTTGTAGCTCCTTTAAAAAGAACATATAACTATGTAGAACTATATAGTTTACTGAATACCCTTTTTAGATTTTTAGTAGTTATAAAATGGAATAAACAAATGGAATATAGGCCTATATGAACAGTTTATGCAATTTGCTGTATTAAATACGTTGTGTGAGCACAGAGAGTATCAGAGAAGTAAACAATATAAGGAGTGACACTAGGCAGAATGCAATGCATGTAATGAATATGCTAAATGGCATATGACGTCATCTAGAGATATTTAGCAACTCGAACAGGCTTTAGCTACTTCACTGAAAATAGTTGGCAATAGTGTCTCCCATTCATGGCAATATGAGTGCCTCGTCTTGTATATCTAAGTCTTGATGTCATGCATCGCCTGTCAGTGGCATTGTATCCTGTTACCTTCAGTTATCGGTTCACAGCAAATAAACTATGGAACACAGTGCGCTTCCTCATCCATGAACATAATTCCACACTCCTTCAAATTCAAACTGTGCTTAAGCAATGATATGTTTCCCATAACACCAGATAACACCAGAGTCTAAGCATTTTGACGATAACGTAAACGTAAAATCCTGGTAACAGTAGTTTCCAATAGTGACTAAATAGCTTTAAGCAACAGCAGTTTCCAAACAAGCTATGCCCAATGTGATGAGATGAGATGATAACTTTAAGCATGAGTATGAAAAGAAATTTGGCTTAGCTTCATAAAGACACGTTCAGATGAATGGAGAGTGAAGTATATCCACATCTTTTGAAGATGCTTGATCTTCTTAATGATGTGCAACTCTTTCATGCAGGGAGAGCCGATCTCGACTGAATTGTACTGAAGTCACTTCCAAATCAAGCTGCTTATACTGGTCGATGCGGTGAATCTTGTGTTCAAAACACGACCTGAATCTGAAGCGAAATCTGTGGTCAACATCCTTTAATCCGTTTGAAGCTGTCCTGAGTGAGTGTTTGTGACAAACTAGAAGACTGGTTAGCGAGTATCCACATTTGCATTTAGTCATTTTGCAGACGCTCTTATCCAAAGCTACTTACAATTGGGGAATACATAAAGCGATTATTCTTAAAGAGGCAAACAGACACAGGAAGTGCTCGTAATACTAAGTTTTAGACATGAACCTCTCACGGTACCACGAGGCGTCGCACAAACTAGAAGCGAGTGTCTGTGTGACAGAACTGAAACTGACTTGATGTTTGTCTGTGTGATGGACTAAAACTGTTTTAGCGCATGTCTGTGCAACAGAACTCAAGGC